AAAAGAAGCCATAAGTTCTTAAAAATATTTATATTTACGAGACATATATCTAGTAAATAACTTATTGTACCCAGCGCACGCTCACACAACTCAACAGAGAAGACAAGCCAATTTTTAAAAAGTATAAAAACTCAAGCAGCTCACTGGAGAAAAGTTGCTTATGATAGAAAACTGAAGAACATCAAATGACAGCGGATTAAAGCACTGTGCATCCTTTGGGATGGCAAAGCAGACAGAAGATGCAGAGCAGTTACAACCCAAAGGTTTGTAACATTACGTTCGCTTACTTCTGTGAGCGTGGCAGGACATGTGGGGGGACGACACAAGGAGAAGGTGCACGCTACAAGGGAGGTGCAGCTCGGTTCCTTTCCAGCTCCAGCTCAAGACCATCATGGAGACCTTGACATTGCTCCAACAGTTGTTTCCATTACCCCTGCAACATTCACCTCTCTCCATTATTCATAGCTGACACCCAAGGTCACTATCTGTCACTACCCCAAGCAGCTGGCCTTAGCCCACACTGTGACCATATTAGTCTGCATTACTCTGTCCCCACAGCCCTTATCAGTATCTGAGATTCCTATGTTTGCATCCTGCTGTCTACACCTCTCCATCAGAAGGTTGGGCATGGTCTTTAACCTTCTAGAACAGTGCCTGGCATGATATACACACCATAAAGATGTGTTGAAGAAATGTATTCCTTGTTAAACCAAAGGCATACGTTTTCCATTCAGACCGTGCAGATACAGTCAACAACAGATTCTATCATGACATGGACTTTATAGCCACTATCCATTTGGGCTTTACTGGAAAGAATACCAGAATGAGAATCAAGAGGCTGACAGTCCACCTTGATTAGGTCACTAGCTGTAAGACATGTGTGGTTTGGACCTTCTAGAAATTAATCTCAGTTGGGAAACTTATTGCAGAACAAGTGTGAATGGAGATGCTCACAATCCAGTGGTTATGACAGTGAACACTGGGAGGAAAGTACTGTCACACAGCAGAGCTATGGCTATGCAGACCGTGGTCTGTCTATTAGCATCACTATAGCTTTATTTGAAACTGATGGCCATTTAGTAGTCCTCGTTTATCGAAGCTTTTGTTTTCAATTGCTCATGAACAAATATGCATAAAGACACAAGTTGGAAAATTCCAGAAATAAATTTATAGTATGCTTTAAAGTGTGCATAAGTTTGAACAGAATGGTACAGACTGTCCAGTTCTGGCCTGCCAAAGTTGTGAATTACTCCTTTGTCCAGAGTATAGAAGTCATATATGCTACCTGCCCTGCAGTCTCTTAGTAGACACCGTCAGTTATAGATTTTCTGTTACATTATTGCTGGATTTTGGCTCAAGTAATCTTTATTTTACGTACAAGAGGAATCAATCTTGCTGTTCACGTATGTCAATGGGAAGTCATAAAGTATTTCCTAAAAGTGAACTAGTGATATGATACTTAGAGACCACACTCACAAAATTTTATTACATATGTTGTCATAAATATTCTATTCCTTTATTAGTTATTGTAGTTCATTTTACTGTACTTATTTATAAATTAAACTTTATTATAGGTGGGATAACAAAGCTGTATACTATGTACAGGGTTAGGAACCATCTGTGCCTTCAGGTACTTACTAGTGATCATGGAATATGTTCCCCGGAGTTACAGGAGACAGTTATTGCTATTCTGCTATTATTCAATAAATATTTCTTGAGTACTTGCCCATCTCAGATATTGTTCTAGGTGCTGACAACAGTGAATGAATTAGGAAGATGTTCTATGCTCATAAACTTGTATTCTGATGAGACAATAATCCAATATGCTACATAAATATGACTTCAGTTGATGACAAACCCTATAAAGGGTGTTTAGTACATTTTGAAATGTTTGGGGGACCATCATCCTGTAGAGCTTTCTATAGGCCATGGTAGGGGCATTAGATTTCATTTTCTATGTGATAAAAACTGCCTTGGAGAATTATGAACAGAGCTCAGTCTTCTACTTGAGAACGGAATGGGAAGCAGGATAAGGGAGGACAAAAGCAGAAGCAAAGAAACCATTTGGGAGAAATCAAGGTAAGAAAGAATGATAACAGAGTCACAGGAGTGGTAACAATTTGTCATGTTTGAAACACTTTAAAATAAAACTAATGTTTGAAACACTTTAAAATAGAACTAATGCAAGAGGCTGGTGTAGTAGTTTCAGCAGTGCACCAGAAGAAAAATAGGAGCTTTTTGCAAGCAGATGCAATACAATTGGGTAAAGCTGCCTGCTAGGGACTGAAGTATAGAGGGTTCCAGGGTGTTTGTGGTATGACCTATGTGCTGTCACGTGACTGAGAGGTGGCTTCACAACTGAGTCCTGGGGGAATCAAATGATGAAATGTGCCAAGTACTGCTGACAGATGGGATACAGTGATATATGGGAAATAACCCTGGCAGTCTCTGGTGTAGGACATGCTGGTGTCAGGAGAAACACTTGATTCAGGCATGCTTAAAAGGGATGGATTCCTTCAACCGAAATATTGATGGGGGGGTAGGATGGGGGAGGAATGTAAGTATTACAAGCCAATTAAAAGACATTAGTAGTTTGAAAAGGGTAGTTCTTAACTGGAACCAGAGACAATCTGAATCAAAATATTGATGTGGTAGTTGATTATAAAAACTAGAGCAATCTTTCTTTTACTTTCTTCTTTTCCTTCTTTCTGTTCTGAGACATATTCTCACATAGCCTAAGCCGGCTTTGAACTATGTAGCTGAAAATGACCTTGAATTTCTGAATTCTGGGTCCTTCTGTTTTGACCCCCTAAGTGCTGTGGTTACAGGCATAGGCCATCATGTCTGGCTAACGTAGTGTTGGGGATAGAGCCCAGTTTCATGTATTCTAGGTAAGTTCCCTACCAACTGAGCTACAACCCCATCCCAATTAACTTATCTTTGGGTGCTGGCTAATCTTGGTTATTAACTCGTTTGCATCTGAAATCAACTAAAACCCAAATTCCTGTGAGCTCCAATGAGGAATTTTCTTAATCAGATTTTTAGAAGCAGAAAGGAAGACTGGGTGGTATTTTCTTGTAGCTGACCAGATAAAAAGGACAAGAAGAAAGGAAACCGTGCTTTGGTTGCGTGTCCCTCACACTTAGTGGCAACCTCATCAGTCCTGTTGCTGTGTCAATCCTTTGCCAGTATTAGAACCAATTTTTTTTTGGGGGGGGGGATTCCTACAGAGACTGAAGTCCAGAAGCCCTCCAGGAATCCTCCAGGCCTCCAGTGCCAGCCTCTTGGACTAAGCAGCTACAGGATGCTCGGCCTTTCATGCATGAGACACTCTAATAAATCATATGTATATGCATATGCACATGTAGTCAGTTTTTTTATTTAATGACCGCTAATAAACTTTCAGTAAGATAATAGTTCTATGGGTACATGAAGAAATAAAAAGCCTTACCTTTCCGAGCTGCACACTGGCCTGGAGATGAAATGACGCTAAGCGTGGAACCTTTAATGTTGATGGTCAGTACTTTCACTGTTAGCCTGCAATTCTCGACGTCTTTAAAAAGAATTGTGAAGCAGAGCTGTTTTATCAGAAGAACATTCTTATCTTACTTTAATATTCAGAGTGTATCCTTAAGACTCCCAAAAATTTGGACATTTGTTAACAATTCTTGGGGTGGAAGGAGGGAGCAAAAAAACAAAAACTGTAAACAAAACAGTAAATGGAAAGTTTTCTTGCTGGGCCTGAGGGCATATTGCTGTACTCTCTTGAGGCTGGGAATGGATGTTTCAGGCCAGCCGGGGCTATGCAGTGAAATTGCCCCCTCTCTTCATTTAAAAAATTATATTAGATTAATTTTTTTTTCATTTGTCAACTTGTGGAAGAATTGTAATAGACATCTTTGAATTCCTGAGAGAAAATAAAAGTGAAAGGAGGGGGTGGGGGGGAATACAGGTTTAGGATTTTATTCTTAATCATGTTCACAAATATGTCCATATGTTTGCAAATAGTTATATACGTACATATGTTTATCACGGAGTATGATCTTATTAAAATATTTTTGATGGTGAGGTTAGCATTGATAGAATATTTTTTATTTATTTGTTTGTTTGTTTATTTATTTATTAAAGATTTCTGTCTCTTCCCCGCCACCGCCTCCCATTTCCCTCCCCCTCCCCCGACCAAGTCCCCCTCCCTTATCAGCCTGAAGAGCAATCAGGGTTCCCGGCCCTGTGGGAAGTCCAAGGACCACCCACCTCCATCCAGGTCTAGTAAGGTGAGCATCCAAACTGCCTAGGCTCCCCCAAAGCCAGTACGTGCTGTAGGATCAAAAACCCATTGCCATTGTTCTTGAGTTCTCAGTAGTCCTCATTGTCCGCTATGTTCAGCGAGTCCGGTTTTATCCCAGGCTTTTTCAGACCCAGGCCAGCTGGCCTTGGTGAGTTCCCGATAGAACACCCCCATTGTCTCAGTGTGTGGGTGCACCCCTCGCTGTCCTGAGTTCCTTGCTCGTGCTCTCTCTTCTTCTGCTCCTGATTTGGACCTTGAGATTTCAGTCCGGTGCTCCAATGTGGGTCTCTGTCTCTGTCTCCTTTCATCGCCTGATGAAGGTTAATAGATAGAATATTTTAATATATTGCTTATCCGTATTTTCGGACTTTTTACATAAGGCAAGTGGATTCCTCTTTAAGAGTCTCATTTGAAAGTGAGGGGTGAGGAATGGAATTAATAGGTAGTACTTTCTTTTACTGACAAAATGTACGCAGATGTACTATCCCGACCTGACCTAGGGTTGTGGGTGCAGGGTAGGGCGAAATCCCTGCGAAAAACCGAGGGGGGGGGGGGGGGGGTAGAACCCGGGAGATGCGGCAGTGCGCAGGCGCAGGATCTTTAGGGCGGGAGTAAGACCTGTCATAGGACAGCCTCGGTAGCCAATTAAAGGCCAGCGTCAGAGGCTTCTTCCTGAGAAGGCAACCGGAACTTGTGCTTCCGCTGCGCTGAGGAAAGTCGCTACCGGAAAAGCAAGCGCTGAGGTGAGCGGGCGGCCGCGCTTGGCGACCGCTGCCTGAGCTTCTCTCTCCGCCCCCGCGGCTGCGTCTCCCCGAGTGTGGAGCGCCGAGGCCCGGCGCGGGGCATCCTGGGAATCCCGGGCTCGCGTGCCCCCGCCCCCCCGCGTCGCTCAGCGGAGCCTGCCCGAGGCCGAAGGTGTGCCGCGTGCGGGAAGAGCCGGACTCGGGAGGCCCGAGTTCTCGTCCCCACGCCGACGGCTTTTGAACCGCCGTGCCCGTAGCCAGGACTCTGCCCCGTCGCCATCGGTAAAATGAGAAGAGCCACCTGGGACTGCGGGAGGCTGGCGGGAGGGGCGCGAGACCTCCGAGCGGATCCCGATTCCCCATTTACCAGACTTGCAGAGGGGTCCCAGGTACAGGGGACAAACCGAAACTTGCGACGCTTTCCCCCCTCCAAAGCAAACACTAGAAAGTGTGGGTTTTGCTAGTGCTAGTCAGTTACGACCTCCAGCGGCTTTGAAAAGTTCAGTTTAAACCGGTGATGGGCGGATCCCGTCCCGTGGCAGGCTGTGCTCTGGAGGCTTCGCGACTTAGTGAAGCTAGGGCATTTGTATTTTGGCGCAAAAAAACTAGCAAACCCGGGAGTAAGAATTCCCGTTGCACCATTTGCCAGGCATTTGATCTGATGTACCCAGTTTTGCACGTTGGGGATTGGCTTTCTTGTTTCTGAAATGAGGATCAGTGTTGCTGTGGTTGCAAGAGAACATTCGTGTTTTAGGACTATACTGAAGTACTTAGGGGAAGAGGGGTGAAAAAAGAAGCTAATGGGGTGTGTGTGAGTGTGACCAAACAGTTGGAAACCTGAAGAGTTTGAAGAGGCTACCCTCAGATTTAACGTATTTTAGGTGTAATACTGATACAGAACCCGTGTATTACTGGCCCGGGTTGATGTTGGAAGGTGGTGTATGCTGAACTCAGATCAGTGCGAAAATGCACTCGGGAATCTCCTCCTTGGATAATACACGTAAGCCCAGATTGGAATAAGCAGAGGTTATTTTGACCATATATGTTGCAGTGTTGGGGTTTATGTATTTAGAAAGGTTATAGAATGCTAATGTGTTGATAAAACTGTACCATACTCTTAAGATGGGCCTTCCTCCAGAAACCTGGGATAATAATAGAAGTTTGAAATTTAACAATGCTTTGGGCTTGTTTGTTTGTTTTTTTGTCAAAATGTTAGAGTTTTAAGTGTTTGGTTTTGGAAACTAGTGTGCAATAGAAAGCAAACGTGATTGTGATTGGAGATTGGTAAACACCATATGTCGTTTCATTGTGGGAAAGAGTAATAAATAAGGCATATGACATTTGGGTGTAAGTGTTCTTTTTCCCAGAGTAGGTTCCCACATGCACCTACCAAAAAAAAAAAAATCAAACTTGAAAATTAGTATATCATGTGCCATACAAAAGCTCCCCAAATAAAGACCCTCTTCTCTTAGTTTTTCGAATATATATTTTGTTTTTTGAGAATTTTATGACACACATTGCCTACCCACTCCTTCCCCTCTGATACCCTGCAGACCATCACTGTGTCTCATTCCCAACTTCATGTACTTTTAAAATATTCACTAGTTTTTAAAGATCACTTTTGCTTTCTGTTAAACACTGTTTTCCAAAACCAAACACTTAAAACTCTAAACATTTTGACAGCATTGTTAAATTTCAAACTTCTGCTATCCAAGGTTTCTGGAGAAAGTCCCATCTTAAGCATATGGTGTCTTTACTTAGTCTGGACAACAAGCGTGCCCTTTAACAGGTGATAGAGACTTGAAAAGATTGAAATAATAGTAAGGTTTCCAAATGATACTGCTTTGTGTTCTCAGAATTTCCTTCATAGTCCAAGTTTGCACAGCTCTGGGTATATTTTTGGTTGCTAGAGATTGTTTCACTGCTCGCATTGCAGTGGCCGTGATGACTGCAGCATTTAGGTCTGATTCAGATAAGCAACAAGCTATCTGACGCAAGCCTGCAGGCTTCTGGGTGAATGGTCAGTGGCTAGGATGGAGCAGGCCGTGGGATCAGAGCAGGCACTGTGAGGAGGATGTAGGACCCGGACAGTCAGTGACTAAATAGGTTTACATTTCCATCTTAAGGTGATTCTGCTGTAAAAATGAACTTGCCAGTGTCCACTCTCAGTTACAGAACCTGCCTTCGTGCTTGACAAGTCTTTGGAGCTGCGTGGTGGTGGCGCACACCTTTAATCCCAGCACGAGGGAGGCAGAGGCAGGTGGATCTCTGTGAGTTCGAGGCCAGCCTAGTTTACCAGAGCTAGTTCCAGGACAGGCTCCAAAGCCAACAGAAGACTTTGGAATGTAGTTTTCTGCCCTAGTCCATAAACCTAACTGGTTCTTGTCAGTTCATCCATGAAACCACAGCTTTGCTTTATTTTTTTCTTCCTCCTTTGCCAGGGTCACCGGTCCTCTAGGGCGAAATTAGCACACCTCTTGTCTTGACTGCCTAACAAGATCTCAATTTTCAAGGCATACTTACCATCAGGAAGTTTGAAGATAGTATGGTCTGAATTCACAGTGAACTTCTGAACATCGAAGTTGTGTTGACCAGGCTGCCTGGTCGTAGGTTGGTAACTTTTTTTCTTCATCAGTGAAACTTGATGATACAGTGACATTGTCACAAGAGCCCCCTCCCCCAGCACCCCTTTATTTTCAGTATACTTCACCCAGGTCTGTCTTTGAGAAATTGACAGGTGTTGGGGGTCTTTTGTGCCCTGGAAGTTCTTTCTCTTTTCCTCTCGATGTCATTACTGTAATTGTGGGTGTCTGCCTTCTGCTGGAATGGCGTGGTCTCTGGATGTCTCTGCTGCACAGGCACCCCGCTCCCAACCCCCTAGGGTAGGGGGTGGTGGCAATAGGAGATCCTAGGCACAAAGCAGAAACAACATCCTGCATATCCATCTGTAGGCTGTTATCTTTCTTTTGCCTCAGCAGACACCCAGCTGATGTGGGGCTGCCACAGCTTCCAGTTCCCTCAGATTGCCTTTATAGATGACAAAGTGTAACTTTTGTTTATTTAACTGCCGTTGAAAGCATCAAGGACATCAAAGAAAATATATGGCTGTTAACATGATCTTTAATTAGGAAATAATTGATAGCCAGTCCCTTTTTTAATGTTAATTTTAAAATCCAAGATCATCTTGTCTTGGACTCTGTCCTGTCAGAGGTAAGAACATACTTGGAAGTCACTTATGGGGATTGGGACGGTATTTTATAGTTCTGTTCTGAATCTGTGTTTTGTTTCTTTAGGTTCTTGATTGTCCACGATGGGTGAGCCACAGCAAGTGAGTGCGCTTCCACCACCGCCAATGCAGTACATCAAGGAATACACAGATGAAAATATTCAGGAAGGCTTAGCTCCCAAGCCTCCCCCTCCGATTAAAGACAGTTACATGATGTTTGGCAACCAGTTCCAATGTGATGATCTCATCATTCGCCCTTTGGAAAGTCAGGGCATCGAACGGCTTCATCCTATGCAGTTTGATCACAAGAAAGAACTGAGGAAACTCAATATGTCTATACTGATTAATTTCTTGGACCTTTTAGATATCTTAATAAGGAGCCCTGGGAGTATAAAACGAGAAGAGAAACTAGAAGATCTTAAGCTGCTTTTTGTCCATGTGCACCATCTTATAAATGAGTATCGACCCCACCAAGCGAGAGAGACTTTGAGAGTCATGATGGAGGTCCAGAAACGGCAACGTCTGGAAACAGCGGAGAGGTTTCAGAAACACCTGGAACGAGTAATTGAAATGATTCAAAATTGCCTTGCTTCTTTGCCTGATGATTTGCCCCATTCAGAAGCAGGGATGAGAGTTAAAACTGAGCCCATGGATACTGATGATAGCAGCAATTGTACTGGACAGAATGAACAACAAAGAGAGAATTCAGGTCACAGGAGGGACCAGATTATAGAAAAAGATGCTGCCTTGTGTGTCCTAGTTGATGAAATGAATGAAAGACCATGAAGAGTATTTTTTTCTTTTAGTGAGTAACATCATATATTAGTTTATTTTCTCTTGGGCTGTCTTAAGAGGTATAACTAAAAATATAAAGGGACTTTTTCTCAGTTGAAATGCTATAATAGTAAGCATAGACAAGCAAGTATATTTGAGTAATGACCATAAAAAAGCAGAATGTTTGCTATTGTATGAGATAGTCCTATTTTTGGAGTTGGAATAAAAATTTGAAGTAATAATGAACTGTCATTCTTGGGGGGAAAAGTAATTTGCTTTAAGACTAATAAAGGGCGTCAAAGTGTACATAAGAAATTATAAAATGTTTAGACTTCTTCCAAAACAGTACAGAAGCTTTATTTTCCTGTTGACTATTCAAACTCGGCATCACAGCTTTTTTTCCTCCTCGTGTTCCATAGAATATTTGTTAGGGGCTCTCCCTTCCCCCAGTCAGGTAATTAGTCTTTAGTCACGAAGTTAATTTGCTCATTTTAGTCATTAAGATAGATAGCTGTGTGCTAACTATACATTTCCTTGTCTCCCGGCCCCCCCCATATCTGTCCATGTAAGTGTGAGTGCAGTGCCCACAGAGGCTAAATGGGAGTTGACTTTGGGAGCTGGAGTGAAGGTGGTTATAAGCCATTTCTGTGGATGCTGAGAACCAAACTGGTACTGTACGGGAGCAGTACATACTGGGCCACTGAACCGTCTCTCCAGCCCCTACATTAGCCCTTTAAAGCTGATCTCAGGTCTTAAGTCTGGAAAAAAAACAAACAAACTGCTAAATGTTTACCAAATGTTCTTGTTTTCTTTTGAGTTACGTTGCTGAGATGTAGCTGACTGGCCATGTACCACACTTTTCCACACAGGGCCGTTAATCTGTGTGAGGCCATGTGACTATTCTAGTCTACTTAAGATGGCAAAAGTTAAGTTTGAGTCCTTACTTTGAATGACAGGGGTCTTTTCATCAGCTGCATTTCTTAACTAATTTGATTTTATGTGAACAAAATCTTTGTAGGATTTTCATTTATTTATTTATTTATTTATTTATTATTTATGCACTTTCTTCTGACTCTTCAACCAAAGTCTTAAGAGGGTAGCCTTGTTATCAAAGGCTGCCTGCCTGTCGCTCTCTTAATGTGGGCTAGTGATTTTCAGAATGTAACTGGACCTGTAACATAACTTCTCTTGGGGTCCTATTAGAACTGCATAGTCTTTCATGCCACACCTGAACCAGAATCCCTTGAAATAGCATGAACAAGCCTTTCATGTGATTCTGATGTAACCTCAAAATGAAAGCCCACCCATAGATGTAATACATTTGGTTTCCCAGGTAACCACTTAGAATTTCTCTCTCAGCCTCTGCTTTGAGCAAAAGGATTTTTTCTGTCAAGGTCGTATTAGTCCTGGCGCTGGCAAAACTCAGTTTAAAATGGTTATGGTCCAGTTCTATGAGAAGTGTACATTCTTTTTTTTTTCCATTTTTTTTTTTTATTGAGAAAGGGAGAAAAAAAAACAAGTTTCCACCTCCTCCCAGCCTCCCATTTCCCTCCCCCTCCTCCCACCCTTCTCCCCCTCCTCCCACCCTTCTCCCCCTCCTCTCACCCTTCTCCCCCTCCTCCCCCCTTCTCCCCCTCCCCCCCTCCTCTCCCCCTCCCTCTCCAGTCCAAAGAGCAGTCAGATTTCCCTGCCCTGTGGTAAGTCCTAGGTCCTCCCCCCTCCGTGCATTTCTAGGAAGGTGAACATCCAAACTGGCTAGGCTCCCACAAAGCCAGCACATTACCTAGGTTCAAAACCCCATGCCATTGTCCTGGGCTTCTCATCAGCCCTCATTGTTCGCCATGCTCAGAGAGTCCAGTTTTATCCCATGCTTTTTCAGTCACAGTCCAGCTGGCCTTGGTGAGCTCCCAATAGATCAGCTCCACTGTCTCAGTGGGTGGGTGCACCCCTCGTGGTCCCAACTTCTTTGCTCATGTTCTCCCTCCTTCTGCTCCTCATTGGGACCTTGGGAGCTCAGTCCAGTGCTCCAGTGTGGGTCTCCGTCTCCATCTCCATCCATCACCAGATGAAGGTTCTATGATGATATGCAAGATAATCGTCAGTATTGCTATAGGATAGGGTCATTTCAGGTTCCCTATCCTCAGCTGCCCAAGGAACTAACTGGGGACCTCGGCTTGGGCATCTGGGAGCCACTCTAGGTTCAAGTCTCTTGCCAACTCTAAGGTGGCTCCCTTAACTAAGAATTGTGCTTCCGTGCTTCCCTATCTAACCTTCCTTTATCCCAATCCTCCTTTTTCCCCAAGTTCCCCCCATTCTCCCCTTCTCCCTTTTCTCTCCCCATCTCCCCTTACCCCCATCCCACCCCACCCCCAAGAGAAGTGTACATTCTTTGTCTTCACAGATGGATATAGGCTTTCCCCAAGTAGATACTGCTATTGAGCAGCTGTTGTCAGTGTCGGCAGTTTTGTTTGTTTTTTGTTGTTTTGTTTTCTGGTATGTGTTTGGTAAGATCGTATCTTAGTCACTTGGCCATTGTAGCACCCTCAGAAGAGTCTCTTTTTCCAACATAGCCTACTCAACACCTTGCCCACATTGTCTCCTTTTGCAAATAAGTATAGTATGTTGGTAGCACTGTTCTGATCACATAAAAGTTATCCACAACCAACCCATTTTCATTCATAGATAAGGAAGTAGAGATTCAGAGAACTTGACTTAACCAAGATCACAAAAATAAATGACAGAATTGGGTTAAAAAATAGGTATTCTGTGCTGGGCAGTAGCGGCATACTGTCTTCTCTTGTTTAGAGACACCGTGTCCAGGCAACTTTTATAAATAAAACATTTAGTTGGAGTGGCTTACAGTTAAGAGGTTCAGTCTGTTATCATGGCAGGACATGGGAGCATGCAGGCAGACATGGTTCTGGAGAAGTAGCTGAGAGTCCTACATCTTGCAAGCAACAGGAAGTGGTCTGAGTGACTGGGTAGTATCTTGAGCATAGGAAGCCTCAAAGCCTGCTCCCCACAGTGACACATTTCCTCTATCAAGGCCATACCTCCTAATGCCACTCCCTGTGAGATTATGGGGGCCAGTTATGTTCAAATTACCACATGCATGCCTTTGATCCCTGCACTCAGGAGGCAGGTGGATCTTTGTGAGTTTGAGGCCAGCCTCATCTACAAAGCAAGTACCAGGACTGCCAGGGCTATTATACAGAGAAACCCTGCCTTGAAAAACAAAGTAGGTATTCTGTTTTATAGCCACAGCACTGGACTTGGGTCTGTCCTCCAGTCTACTGTTAAGTCATATGTAAAGAGACTTCCAGTTTTATACTCCTGAAATCCATGCTTGTAAATACCTCGGACTACGGAGGAAACATTTGTAGATTCAGAGAGGCATACTTTGAATATCCTAAGGCATGTGTTGGTTAAGACATCTGTATCCTGAGATGTTCTTCAGACTCAAGAAAGTTGACGCTTAAAGTTTATGGTTTCTTTGGGCTGGAGTCCATGTGGGGTAAGATGCTGGCAAAAGTGGTTTTTGTTTTTTGTTTTTTTTGGTACTGTTTTTTTTTTCCTTTTTTCTCTATTGCTTCCTTGTCTCATTGGTGGTAAACTTTTACTGTAAGTCCAGTTAATAGGCATTGAGGACCATACAACTTGTTTAATATACTTGAGTGCTATGGCGTGACAGAAGTCATAGACAGGGTAAATGAAAGCACTATGTTCTAATCCAACTTTTATATATGAACAGTAGGAATAGAGTAAGGACACTGAAATTTGAATTTCATTTGCTCAAGTGTTTTCTGAAGTATTCTTTTGAGTTTTTGGACCACTTAAATGTAAAATTCTACTCTATGTGGGTTTAACATCAGGCAGTAGATTCAATTTGGCTGGTGGGATTTATTTTACATCTCAAAGTATCGTCACAGAGATAGTAATGTAGGGCCAGTTGGATGACTCAGTTGGTAAAGGTGCTAGCTCAGAATTGTCTCTCTAACTTCTACATACGCCACATATACTGATATTAGTAATAAATAGACTACAGAAATAATGTCAAAAAGGAAAAAACAAACCGTAGAATGGTGGGAGTAGACACCTTTAATCCCAGCACTCAGGGGAGTCAGGCAGATAGCAGAGTTCAAGGCCAACTTGGTCTCTGAGTGAGTTCCAGGACAGCCAGTGCTACACAGAGAAACCACGTCTTGGAAAACAACAACAAACAAAAAAGACAAAGTAATCTTTATAGCTACAGTGTATTATGCAGTAGTACTTAAAAATCTGTAGATATGAGATAATATCCTCCCCACTACTCTCTTTTTAAAGTTTTACTTTGTTTATTTTTCATTATTTTGAGACAAGGTCTTCCTAGGTAGCCCTGGCTGACCTGGAACACACTATGTAGACCAGGCTGGCCTCAGACTTTTCAGGGCTCTCGCTGCTTCAGCCTCCTGAGTGTCTGCGTTCTAGGCAGGTGTCACCACACTCAACTTCTGTTTATGTTTTTCATTTGGAAATACTTGCATATATTTACGGAGGAGAATATACTTCCACGCAAGCGTGCCTTCTCTGCTGTTTGTCTTCCGCAGACTATTAACATTGACCATTGAAGGCTTAAGATCAGGCTTCATGCTGTAATGTGACAATGCTACCAATAAGTGGCAGTCTTGCAGCGAGGACCAAAATGAAACCTAGAGGCACTGCATATGAACTGCTCACTTAACTCTCATTCAGAGGTGAATTAGGCCTTTACATCTCATTGATATCTGTTGAATCAGAGATGGCTGTTGAAACTCATAATGCAACTGGGAGTAGTGGCTAACACCTGGGATCTCAATCTGGAGGGTGAAGCAGGTAAGAGGGTGGATTTCCAGACTACCTTGCAAGGCCTACCTTGCAAGACTTTATCTCAAAAAGCAAAGTACAGGAGAACATGAGTAAGGAAGTCAGGACCATGAGGGGTGCACCCACCCACTGAGACAGTGGGGCTGATCTATTGGGAGCTCACCAAGGCCAGCTGGACTGTGACTGAAAAAACATGGGATAAAACCGGACTCTCTGAACATGGCGAACAATGAGGGCTGATGAGAAGCCAAGGACAATGGCACAGGGTTTTGATCCTACTTAATGTTCTGGCTTTGTGGGAGCCTAGCCAGTTTGAATGTTCACCTTCCTAGATATGGACGGAGGGGGGGAGGACCTTGGACTTTCCACAGGGCAGGGAACCCTGACTGCTCTTTGGACTGGAGAGGGAGAGGGAGAGGAGTGGTGGGAGTGGGAGAAGGGTGGGAGGAGGGGGAGGGAAATGGGAGGCTGGGAGGAGGCGGAAACTTCTTTTTTCCTTTTTTTAATAAAATTAAAAAAAAAAGGCAAAGTACAACACACACAAAAGCCACCCCCAACAAACAAAAACAACCTTTGAGTTTTAGAATTTGGGCTCTATCAACTGCGTATCATTGAATTGGCTTACTAGTGTCTATGGAAATCCGTTTTCATTGACCCGGGTAGTCACAGTAGTTATCCCAGAGTATGATGCTGACAGTGAAGGACAGCACTCACCCTAATTTCTTTTGAAACCGATTTGACCCCAAGAAATAATACTCAGGCAAACTAGGCATGTGTGCAGAGCATTTGATCTGAAAGGGCTTGTTGGATACCCCAAAGGCTAGGTGGTGCTGGAGCCTGGGGCCGTTGGGGATGGGGAACAAAAAATAGAAGGAAAGCACAAATAATAAAAGCAAAAAGGGGACATTATTATAGACATAAAGATAATAAGTAACAAATGTGAAGATCTTACAGAGAATCTTTCAAGTTGAGGTAGCTTCTGTTGCAAATAAGCCTGGTAAACATTGCCAGTATAAACAGACCACCACGTGTACTTGTGTGTATACACAAAGAATAAGACAGCTTTAATTTTTTGCAGACTGTGAAAAGGATAGAAAAACAAAACATTTCCCAATTCTTATAAAGCTAGCATAAGCAAAATATTATACTGAGACCTGCAATATGTTTTTTTCAAAAAGAATGTTTATGACCAATTTATACTTAACTGAAGAATGTGGAATAGGGAATTAATGGAACCTGCCAAATAATGGATTTGGAAAGAAAAATCACTTTTCACAATATATATGAAAGGCATCTTTGAAATTTAGTATCCGTTCATAAAAAAGAAAAACAGCTTGCATATCAAGAATAGAAGGAAATTTCCTTAATATAATAAACTGCTCTTAAAAACAGAAAACAAAATGAAAACCTATAGCATGTTTTATACCCGAGGTGATATCTTGAGACCTTTTCTTTGAGAACAGAAATAAAATAAGAATGCCTACTATCAAAGCTTTAAGTCCGTACTAGATTCCCTAACCAGCAAAGGACAAAAAATATTGAAAAGGAAGGAACTAAGCGTTAACTACATAACAAAGTAATCCTCAGCATAAACAATTTTATATAATCTAAAGATAATGGATTAGTAAACATTTAATTGTTGCAGAAATGTTTTAAAAGGTTGCAGAAATCAAAAAATACATTTTACTTCAGTATTTGATAAGCCAAAATAAAAATTAAATGATGCTATGTAAAATAGCTTCAATAATATGGAACACCTAGAAAAAACATCTAGAAACAATTAAATTCTTATAGAGAATACATTTTATTAAGATAATTTAAAAAAATCAACTTAAATATAAGTTGAGCCAAAACATGTCTGTGGATTGGACCACCCAGCTTGTAAAGAGGCCAAATTTGTCCTGATTTCATTTGTAGCTCTAGTGCAAGTTAATAATTTTCTACCATACTCTAACATTCGATAAACTGATTCTAGGCTTTGTTAAAAGGACCCAGAGAGCCATACTGCCCTTCGAGGAGAGTAAAGAAAAGGATTCCCCTGAAAGGAAAATGTTGACAGAAAGAGAAATAGGACAGTTGGGACAGAAATCCATGTCTGTATATCACGATGAAGCACCGGGGAGATGACGGTACAAGGTGAGGGAAAGGCTGAAATTTCGGTAGATGGGGTTGTAATCGAACATGCGAAACCCAGCTCCAGGAGAACTAAAGATTTACCTACAAAACATACTATTTTTTTTGAAGCAAAAGTTATTTATGCCTTAATAAAAAATGGAATCACAATTGGGAGAGATGACTCAGCAGGCAAAGGTGCTCTCCCCTAAACCTGACTACCTGAACTCAATACCTAGGCCCCATATGGTGGAAAGAGAGAGCTACCTCCTAAAAGTTGTCCTCAGACTTTGACGTGTCGGGTGAGCCCAACTGGACCAAGAAGCCAGCTGGCTTTAAGATGCTTCAGGCATCTTTGCTCCTTTTCGTATTAGTCAAGTTTTTGAACTAATATATAGGCAAGTATTTTTTAAACCTCTGAATAAGAGAAGAAATACTAAAATAGAATACAAAAATGTATGATTCACAAGAGAAAAGATTGGTCTGTTCCATTACAACAAAATTAAATTGTGTTCAGGAGATGGAGACATGTCTCAGCAGTTAAAAGCACTTGTTGGACTAGAGGATCCTGGTTCGGTTCCCAGCACCAACATGGGCTGACAAACATCTATAACTCCAGTTCCAGGGGATCCAATATCCTCTGACCTCTGCAGGTTCTAGGCATGTACAAAGTGCACATACATACACAAATCTGAAAGAGGGAGGGAGGGGAGAGGGAGGGAGGGGAGAGGGAGGGATGGAGAGAGAGAGTGTGTGTGTGTTTCCAAATGATACGCTGAAATGCTACAGTGTGAGGAAAAATATTTGCAACAGATGAAATCAGTAGAGGAATGACATTGAAAAGTTACAGATTATTTGTATTAATCAATATGAGACACACAGAAACCCAACAGACTGGGTAAAGGACGTAAACAAGTATTTCTCTAAAATTAAATTCAAACTCTGTATAAACAAGAGGTGCCGGTTAGTCATTAGGGACATACAAGATAAAGTCATATGACATGTTCCCACATTCTTACCAGTTTTTGAAAAACCATAGAAATCAAAACCACAAACAAAAAAGCCAATTCTGGCAATACCACAGCTCAAAAAGATCAGTATTTTTTTTTTTTTTCTTCTTGAGACAGGGTACTTGCTTTGTAACCCAGCCTGTCCTCAAATTGTGTTCTTTCTTCAATCTCCCTGTTTGGATTACAGGTGTGCGCTATGCCACCCAGCAAAATATATTCCATATGCTGTTGGTGAGAATCTGGGAAGCTAACTGAATATTACCTAACAAGATTCCAGGGCTTTGTGCCCTCTGATCCATTAACTCTACTTTTAGAAAGGCGTTCCAAAAACTCGTGAATATCAGCATTATTCTATTCTCACATTATTACGTGAGAATGTCCCGAGTGGCAGTGTGTGTCACTGAAATGAAAACGGAACGTCGAAAGCAGAAGGGACAATGACTCTTTTGAGAAGTTCAGGGGTGTGCCTTAGTTTCATCCTGAACACATTTCATATCTTAACCCTAGCACTTAAAACCTATTAAACCCTTTTACTAAACATGCAACTGTATTTAAAAAAAAAATAGAATGTCCCCATCTGCCTAGCCTAGGTCCTGTGCCAACAGACCCTAGCTGCTTTCAGCCTTGATTAGAGAAGCATCTTTTTACAGTGGGCAACGGTCAAATGGATGACGTAGAATAGTCAGGATGCTGAGCAAGAGACTGAGTCTCAGCTGTAAACAGGACATTTACATTAACAACTTCACCCTCCCACCCCAGGATCAGGGACAGTGGGAAGATGGGAGGAGTGTTGTGTGTGGGGTGCTGTCTTCTGGACCTGAGATAGCAATGTAGTCATGAATTCCCAGCATCAGTGGGTACTTGTTGAAAGACCTACACAAGATCAAGCCAACCGCAATCGCCGCGGAGATGAGGTAGATGGTCTCAGTTCCCACTCATCACAGACTGAGAGAGGAACTATCAACTTTGCGGAAGATGTGATCACTGGTAAGTTTTCCATGTTCTGGTGGATGACCTCACCCCACCCCCATGTAGATAAAAACAGCACTAACTGGGCTTAATGGCTTATCAAACAAAACAGAAGCTCCCTGAAGTTGGGAAGGAGGCTTGTTGAAAATAGGAGGAAGATGGAAGGGGAAAACAGGGAACAGATATAATCATATTTCTTGTATACTTGTATGAAATTCTCAAAAATGAAGGAAAACAAGGAAATGGATAATTTGAGCTATATCCATTCCCAGAAAAACTTTTCGGTAGCAACTACAAGGACACAAATAGCCAGGGAGGATCTTACAGATACGCTGTCCAGTTAAATAGGCAGGGAGGTTCTTACAGATACACTGTCCAGTTAAATAGGCAGGGAGGGTCTTACAGATACGCTGTCCAGTTAAATAGGCAGGGAGGGTCTTACAGATACACTGTCCAGTTAAATAGGCAGGGAGGGTCTTACAGATACACTGTCCAGTTAAATAGGCAGGGAGGGTCTTACAGATACGCTGTCCAGTTAAATAGGCAGGGAGGATCTTACAGATACGCTGTCCAGTTAAATAGGCAGGGAGGATCTTACAGATACGCTGTCCAGTTAAATAGGCAGGGAGGGTCTTACGCTGTCCAGTTAAATAGGCAGGGAGGATCTTACAGATACGCTGTCCAGTTAAATAGGCAGGGAGGGTCTTACAGATACGCTGTCCAGTTAAATAGCCAGGGAGGGTCTTACAGATACGCTGTCCAGTTAAATAGGCAGAGAGGGTCTTACAGCTACATTGTCCAGTTAAGTAGATGAAAAACACCACAGCTCACATGGTTTCATTAATCAATTGTTGAAAACCACGAAGAGCTATATGCATAAATTTGAGACTCATACATAAGTGGTGAAGTTTGAAAAAAGACAGAGGGGACTGGTGGTGTGCAGTCAGTGGAGTGGAGTGTAGCATGCTAAAAGCCCTGGGTTTGATCCCCAGCGTTGGGTTTAGTGGTGCATATTTGTAATCTAAGTCCTGCAGAAGTGGAGAAAAGAGAAGTTCAAGGTCATTTTAGGATACATAGAGTGTTAGAGGCCAGCCTGGGATACATAAAACTGCAAAACAAGCCAAAAAAAAAAAAAAAAAAAAAAACTATCACGACAAAATTGCATTGCAATACCAAGGACAATACCTACTTAGAGAAGCAAAGTGTTGTGGTCAGGAAAGAACAGATGACTTGGAGTTAGGCTTCAAATGGGCTTTAGCAGAGTGGCTGTATTTTTGAATCCAGATTTGCTTGAATATTGCTTTATAAGTATTGCATAGTCAATATATTTGTGTTTATGCGGCATTTCATTATAGTTTTCATTAAACAAATTTTAAACCTTAAAGCCATATTGTGAAACCATCTCCCAGCCCTTTTATTGGAAAACTATTGTCTGACAAGAAGATTTTGACAAAGACATGGAGTATCAGAAGGATTCTTGCTGCCAATGAATGCATAAAGGGGATTAGGCACTTTGGAAGGCAGCTAAGCGTGGTCTTGTAAAGAGGATGTCTTTGATCAGAGAAAAATGTGCACATGGAGCAAGGATGAAGACAGGAAGTAGTAAGATGAGATGAAAGCCTAAAAGGTACCTCACCACGACTGACTGGTGGTGAGTGTGTCTGTGAACTCAAGAGAAGGAGAGCTTAGCTGTCTGACCCTGGGAAACTGTTAGCTGGCAGAAAGAAGAGAGCCTTACCGGAGAGCAGTATAAAGGGTAAGCCATACCACTTCCCATCTGCACGGCTTCTGTGGGCAATAGCGGGATCTCCATTTTCAAGATGAGACTAGACAGGATTTTCCACAGTGAGTCACAGCTCAGCAGAACGTTCTCGCTGGTGGACGCTTTTCATCCTTTGCAGCTGCATGGCTGGAGCCTGCGGGAGCTGGTGAGGGGTGTCCTCTTCACGGCCTTCTCCTCGCTGTGATGAGGACACTGGCCATTTCAGAGAGGATCTGACTTCTCGTAGACCAGTGAATGTGGCAGCTGAGAAGACGACTTGTCCTCACTGGGCCACTGTTTTCTGTGCTTCTGAGTAAAGAACGCTAAGTACTCCTGTATACGCTTGAATGTGACCGAAAGCTTAAACTCTCTATCATCCGTTCATAATTATCGGATATAAAAACTCTACATCATCTCCTTAATTTTGTTAAGTTCAAGTCCTTGTGAAGCACACACTTCATTCTCATTTATGAGGAACAGAATACATAATTTGTTTTGTTTTTATTGTTTTTGAGACATGGTCTCTTGTGTACTAGACTGGCCTTGTATTCTTGATACTCCTTTCTCTACTTCATAAGTTCTGGAATTACAAGCTTGGTTTATTGAGTACTTGGGGTAAAACCTATGCCAGGGAAGCACTTTACCAACCTAGCTATATCTCTAGTCCAAGATCCACATTTATTTGGAAAGACGGTCATATTAGTATTTATTAGTACATATTAGTCATATTAGTCCTTGTTGGTGCAATAAAATACCCAATGAAAAACAACTTGAAGGAGAGAGTTTATTTTTGCTCAGTTTGAGGCTACAATCCAATACTTTTTTTTTTGAGCTATATGGCATATCACCCTTATCTCCAGCTAGCCCACACGCAGCAACACACTGAAGTGAAGCTTCTTACTCTTGCCCAACCAGAACACAGGACCTACTGGTTAGCCTCTCCCTTTTCTCTCTGTCTCTCTGTAGCTTCTGGTAACTTCCACTCTATTCTCAGTTTCCACTGTCACTATTGTAAGATTCTACCTATGAGAGAGATGCAGCATTTACCATTCTGTGCCTGGCTTATTTCACTTATCACAGTGACATCCAACTCCATGCACAGCACTGCAAATGGCAGGGTTTTAGCATTCCATAGTGTATACATATCACACTTTTTTCACCCATCAACTGATAGATATTTAGGATGTTTCCATTTCTTAGTTATTGTGAAGAGTTTTGGAATAACAAGGGTGTGCAGATGTTTCTATGAATTATCCATTGCACTTCCCTTGAGTGTATACCCAGTAGTGGAATAACTGGATCATAGAGTAGCTCTCTTTCAGCTTTTGAGGAACCTCCATACTTTCTTCTGTAAGACTACTCGTTCAAAGATTTCCTTCATGCCCCCCCCCCCCCCCCCCGAGCATCACTTAGGAGTTTTTAAATAGTTACAGTGAGATGCAATCTCTTTGTGATTTTGACTGACATTTCTCTCATCAATGTGTTGGACTTTTTTTTTTTTTCATTTTTTTTTGATGTTTTCTCTTGAGATGTGTCTTTTTAGATCTGTTGCCAATCTTCAATTTGGATTATTTGGGAGAAAAGGTTGTTGTTGGGCTTTTAGAGTTCACAGTATATTCTGGAATCAGCCTCTTATTAGATGTAGAGTTTACAAATATTATAGATCATTCTGTAGGTTGTTTTCTTCACTCTGTTGATTTTGCCCTTTGTTGTATAGACAATTTTTAGGTTTAGATACATGTGGGTCCATATTTCGATATGGCACAAAAGCCATTACCCAAGTCCAAGCTGATCACACAGCTCTGCAGACATGCTGTCTCTTCCCTTAACAAAAGCCAGGATGCCTGATCCTAGCTTCTTTTGTTAGAATGTGGATTACCTGAGAAGAGATGTTTGACTGAAGCTGATGACTTAGGAGTTCAGCTGTTTGGTGCTTCCTTCCTTTTGTAATTTGGAAGGTGTCTTATAGAGATGCTAATTCAGGGCCTACCTGACTGCTAGATGCAGATGTGACTTGAGCCCAGGCACCTGGTTGCCTAGGTGATGGCGTAATGCCGCCCCCCCTGCCCGCTCAATTTGGTGTGGGTATATAAAATGTTTGGACAATAAACGAGGATTCTGGCCTTTTCCATGATGACGGTGTAAGCTGTGTCAGTTCTTTTCCTCGCGACTCCGTTCCTGCCGGGTTAGGGAATTAGGAAATTTATGTTGGACCCTCACGGGCCACGACAGATACACTCTCATTTGTTTATTTTTGCTTTTGTTCCCTATGGCTTTAGGGTCTTTTTTTTTTTTTTTTTTTTTTTTTTTTTTTTTTTTTTTTGGTTTTTCGAGACAGGGTTTCTCTGTGGCTTTGGGGCCTGTCCTGGAACTAGCTCTGTAGACCAGGCTGGTCTCGAACTCACAGAGATCCGCCTACCTCTGCCTCCCGAGTGCTGGGATTAAAGGCGTGCGCCACCATCACCCGGCTTGGCTTTAGGGTCTTAACTAATTTTTTTTTTTTGTTATTATTTCAAAATAATAAAGCTTTTCTACTGTTTTGTTCTAAGACTCCATTTCTCCCTCCCTTCCTCTCTCCCAACTTCCCTCCCTCTCTCTTTTCCTCCCTCTCTCCATGTGTGTGTATTTCTATGTAAATCTTAGACTTGTTTTTTTCTAGTCTTATCGAAAATGCCATTGCCATTTTGATAGGGTTCTATTAACCTGAATTGGTATGAACATATAACAACAGTATTGATTCTTCCAATCCAATTTATCAGTGTTTCATAATTTTTATTATAGAGATATTTCACCACTGTGGTTAAATTTATTCTGAGATATTTATTCACTCATCTGTTTTGTAGCTATTATAAATGAGATTTCTTTCTTCAAATTATTTTTTATTTTGAGAAAGATTCTCCTCAAACTTCATATGAGGTCAAGGATAACTTGAACATTTGATCCTCTTGCCTCTGTCTCCCAAGTTCTGGGATTACAGGTGTGTAATTTTTTTGTGGCACTGAGTATCAAACTCAGAGCTTCAAACTTTCAAGACAAACCCTAAGCCATATCCCCAGACCCAAGACTTCTTGTTTTCTTCTTTTCTACTTCAGCCAACTTGTTATGTTTTCAGAGTTACTCTCATACTTGATATACGTCTTCCTCAGGAGTCACTGGTGTGCATCATCACATCCAGCTGTTTTGAGCATTGTGCTCACAAAGGACATTAGCCTGTAGCGTTCTTTTTGTTATTGTTGTTGTGCTCTCATCTGTTCTG